TAAATGTTGATCAGATGATGAAAATTATATCAACATGCAACAGTGATAATTTGTTAATTTAAGATGAAATTCCGGCTGTTTCGTGTCCACCGAGTTTTGGTCGCTTAGTTGGATATACATTTGATGTTGTTCCCTGGTGATTAATATTGAAACCTAATTTTAGCTCATACTCTACGTTGTTCTATTTATTACCATAAGGTACTTCACGTGGACTGCGCTTCAAAGTTTCATGACCTGGGCCCATATTTTCAAAAAAAGTTAAGAGATCGTAAGTTCATCAGCCAATCATTGACGGCCTTTCAAGCCACTCTTTTAAAAACAGTTAAGAGATCGTAAGTTCATCAGCCAATCATTGACGGCCTTTCAAGCAAAATCCACCAATCGTAGACAAGAAAATAGAGCGTAAATACTCACGTTCACTATATACTTTCATAATAAGTTAAGAGATCGTAAGTTCATCAGCCAATCATTGACGGTCTTTCAAGCAAAATCCACCAATCATAGACAAGAAAATAGAGCGTAAGTACTTACATTCACTATATACTTTCAAAAAAAGTTAAGAGATCGTAAGTTCATCAGCCAATCATTGACGGCCTTTCAAGCAAAATTCACCAATCATAGACAAGAAAATAGAGCGTAAGTACTTACGTTCACTTAGCGAGTTTTGAAAGTATGGCCCCTGGTCTTTGTTCGTAGGCGCGCAGCCGAAAAGTCTGAAGTGAAATGTACGGACTATGATTTATTTAAAGGCCACGACACGCACACAGATCTGCTTCTTCCGATCAATGCTCGCAGATCTGTACAAACAAAGGAACTAGAAACTGATTGGCCAATAGCTGCGGATAATTGCCCTTTTTTTCTGATGACGCTAACCGCTCACATCAATCACAGGCATGGGGTGGAATTCTAGGAATGGTGATTCATATATTAAATAACAATAAAGCCTGATAACTTAATCGGTTGAAAAGTATTAGCTAGATGTGAAATGGAAAAAATGCTTCAGATTTTGAATCCATTGTGGTATATGCACTTATCCCCTTACCCCCTTATAAACCCTTATAAGTAGAAGTATAACCCTTATTATTTGGCCTTATAAGTATAAACTCTTATAAGTATAACCCTTATAAGTACAACCCTTAAAAGTATAAACCCTTATAAGTATAAACCCTTACAAGTATAACCCTTATAAGTATAACCCTTATAAGTAGAAACCCTTATAAGTAGAAACCCTTATAAGTATAACCCTTATATGTATAAACCCTTATAAGTATAAACCCTTATCAAATTACTCCCTGATCATAGCTCGGTCCCCAAAAGTGATCGAAATCAATAGCGCGGGATGTACCTCGCTACATACGCCCAGAAGTACACCGAAATAATCACAATTGGATTAATGGCATTGGATGAACGCATTCTGCTATTACCATTGCCAATGCAATAAATAAACTTAAACATAAATATGAACGAAAAGCATTGAAAATTTGTCTCAAGGCTATTCGTTTTTACTGTTGCTAATTGGGCTGAATACCGGATTGTCTTTGCAGCCACTGCATTTTGATTTTCAAGGGAAGTAAGGCTAACCTTAATATATAATTATTCAATAAAGTAGTATATTTTAAGTAATATTAATAGTTTTATAGGGTAGTACCATTATGAAATACAAAATATAAATAATTTTTTCCTTGCAGTGAGGAATTAAACCCAGAAAAAGACGAGGTGCGAATCAAACTATCTATCATGCGATCCCAGACCGATAATTTAAATTACCAGAATATCTGCACAGCATAAATGATTGACATGATGAATGCTTATCGAGCAAAGATATCAGAGACTCAATTTATATTCAAAGTCTGTACAAGAAAGCAGTAATTTATAGATAAATTCTCATTTTATAGATTGAGTACCGTACAGCTGAGCTTCATATCGAGCATTGCAACGACTATCATGCACCGTTTAAAGATAATGAACCTCAATGTTCAGCCACTGTAGAGCAGTCGGAACCGGTAATTTGAAGGTAAAAGAATCCATTCCAAATCATATACGTTCAAGATAATAAAAGTAATTAACATTTTCGAGCTTCATCATTTAAAACCAGTAATTTGAAGGTAAAAGAATCCATTCCAAATCATATGCGCTCAAGATAATAAAATATATTAACATTTTCGAGCTTCGTCATTTGAAAACGATACGTGGTGCTGGTTCTCATTAAAGATTTTTTGTAGGGTCTGGCTAAACAACGAAACTTTTGACCCCATAAGTCATGTTTAACTGGCACATTGTTGATTTTCTATCGCGATGTCTCGTCTGAAAATTAATTCTGGACTGATACTGGTTGGTTTAAGTTTGTTTTTTTTATTATAAAACTGTCTGATGAATTGTACTTTAACATTATGTTCATAGTTTGTTATTCGCTGTGCTGACATGATGAGAAATACGTGATAAAGAATTTCTAACCAGTTTTATGCGGTGAAAATAATACAATAATATCATAAAATAATAATAATAAATAATATTTATTTATTATAAAATAATAAATAGTGCTGTACTGATTTCTTGCGTTCTTGTATTCTGTGGTGCGGACTAGTAAAGTCGTTCATTCAACTGTTGAATTATATTATAAATAATATAATAATAATGTAATAAAAAAGAATTAATAATAATAAATAAATAGTGCTGTACTGAACAATTACCTTCTTGTTTTCAGTGGTGCTGACTAGTTGAATCGTTGGCTCAAGTGGTGATTTGTCAATTCATCAGTTGAATTATATTATAAATAATATAATAATAATATAATAAAATTAAATATATATTAATAATAATAAATAAATAGTGCTGTACTGATTAATTACGTTCTTGTTTTCAGTGGTGCTGACTAGTTGTCATTGATTCAACTGTTGAATTTGTCAGTTCAACAGTTGAGTCAAGTCACTGTTGAATTTGTCAGTTCAACAGTTGAGTCAAGTCACTTTCAACAGTTGAGTCAAATCACTGTTGAATTTGTCAGTTCAACAGTTGAGTCAAGTCACTGTTGAGTTTATCAGTTTAACAGTTGATTCAAGTCACTGTTGAATTTATCAGTTCAGCAGTTGAGTCAAGTCACTGTTGAACTTGTCAGTTCAACAGATGAGTCAAGTCACTGATGAATTTGTCAGTTCACCAGTTAAGTCGAGTCACTGTTGAATTTATCAGTTCAACAGTTGAGTCAAGTCACTGTTGAATTGACAGCTCGCGTGTCTGTTGAACGTAGTGCCTTGATTAGTTCAAGTCTTGACAGAACAACTTCGATACTTTTGAAGCGGAGACTTCAATATCAAGGCTTCAATACCATGGCCTCTGCAGTATAAGGCAAGGTAAAAAGAATAACTTTTAATTTCTCTGCTATGATTTGAACAGAAAGTTTTGAGCGACTTAATCAAGAACGATTTTAAAAACGTGTAGTGTCGTATGATACTTCACCTGTCTCGGCAGATTTTCTATTATTTCTATTAGCCTTATACCGCCAATTTCTAACATTTCTATTAACCTTATACCCCCATTTTTTCCCATTTCTATTAACCTTATGCCCCCATTTTCTACCATTTCTATTAACCTTATGCCCCCTTTTTTCATCATTTCTTTTGACTTTATACACCATTTTCAAGTCCAAAGCAATTTCTGTCATCCTATATACATATACATGAATATGTAGGAAGCTCTCTATAGCATTGAGCATTTCTCTATTTTTACCGGTGTATCTTATTCTTATAAATAATAAGATATTATTTATAATAATAAATTTACCGGTGTATCTTATTATTATAATGGAGATTTTGAAAAGGGTTGCTCTAAAGATTATTAGTTTCAGATCTTTGATTGGTTTTAATGTTTTTCTTGCTATGCATACTTTTTTCGATTTTAATTAATGTTTTTAGGTAAGAAATATAGCATGGAGTCAGATGACTGAAAATTAGATAATTAATCGAGTGTGTCTAAATTTTAAACTGAATATAATTTAATGAATAATTTAATCAATTCAAACTATGAATTATGAGATATCATGTAGGAATATTAATTACTAAATCAAGAAGAATTTATGAATTAACTGTCAAGTGGAGAACAATTATTTCAAGTTGATTCCAAATCATATGACACGGGTTTCCAATTAGGTGAAAATTAAAAGAATCGGAATGAAGGTATATAATTAATCGCAACAAAAGGTATATAAGAATAACAATTGAACGCGGTAGATTTCAGTTTTGAAATGACCGTCGTTAAAATTTAACAAGTTCTCATTTTATCAGGCAGGCATCATGAAGTTTTCTCAAAAATTTGAATTTTAATCGTAATTTTGAATTTTAGTCATAAAATTACACTGGAATGTTTGTCTTGACGAAAAAATTTTCATTATTTTTTCCGAAAATTTCAGTTGATAGTTGCAATTGAAAACCATTTCAAGAAACTGAGTTATTAGTATGAGAACTTACACGTTATAATTTGAACAAATTATTTTTCGTGGAGGTCGGAGCTCACATCAAGTTCAAGTTCGTTTGTTATTCGACGTTACCATGAACACGGCCGGTCAATGTACGTACGTCAACAGCGATAAAAATGAACTTACCATGCTAAGCGGTCATACATTTACAATTTTTAATCACGGCTTCATGCATTTGTTAGGCCAAAGTTGTATAGATCGCCTGGAGTTTCTTGGGTTATCAACAGAACTGTTCGTAGTTCATCGCTGTAGCTGCAGGCAGGAGGCTAGGTCGTTCTAACCCATTTTTTCACATCAATTATATCGTATATTGATGCAAAAATTGCTTCAAATAACTGAAAAACACTAATCATACATTTTTATTAGTTGGGTTTTACTAATAGAGTTGATTTTCTTGACTTGAAATAACTCTGTTAGTTTCAGTTATTTTTCACTCGAAAAAAGACTGAGTCGATCGGCCTGTTCAACTCCGTATATTGGATAAATTAATTTGACTAATACATTAAAATTTCTACAAAGATTGTGAAGCATGGAGATTCTGGTGTCGATCTTGGTGTCTTTGTTCGGTGTGGCGCTCGCAACGTCGGATGCTATGGTCCGCTACGACATCATTTTCTACCCAGACTACAGAATTCCATATAATAAAACATACGAGACTTTCATCGCTTCCATTTTAAGTGAGTGTTAAAATATATATGAAAGCAAATTATGTTAACAAATAAGAAATGTTAATATTTGCATGGAAAATATACGAAATAGGTTTGAACAAACGTACGAGCGCATAACCATGAGGTTTTTCGTCAGTGTATTCATCTTGTAGCGAATTCCGGACAAAACTGTAGGTAAAAAAGTGTTAAATAATTGCATTTTTGACCAGAATAAGAATGAGATAAATATGCAATGTATACCGTGAAGTAGTAGACATACTTTGACAAGTTAGGTTAACAATAAAAAATGCATTGCCTGTCGAGAATAGTATAAGAATGAGCGGTTCAACCAGCAAGAAAATCACGATTAGTTTCCTTCATGCGGCATGCATCAATTTTTCCATGCACGAGCGAGATAGAGATTTCACATCGATGGGTTTTCGAAATCCCTGCTGTCTGATGAATAATATACAACTGGCCAATTGATGATAAGATTTTACTTTAAAAACGATGTTTTGGCTATTAAAACGACAGAGTAGTAGACGATTAACTTGAATTATTTGCATTCTCGTTGGGTTAAGGTGAGTGCCGGCGCAGGTGTGTGGATGACCCCGAGTGCACGGGCTGGACGGAGTTGCCCTTAAACAAGGGTAAACTCATGAACTGTACCCTCACGCGCTACCCGCAACCCGGGACAATTCTGCAATGGGCCGGCGACGGACCTGAAACTTACTTCAAAGAGAGTAAGTCCATTTCCAAAAAGATTATGTTATTATATTTCATGTATCACTCGCTATATGAATTACGGGTTTTATTATTATGATCTGTGATCTTCAGGGAAGCCGAAAATATTATGATCTGTGATTACTATATTTCATTTATAACTCACTCTATGAATTAGTTGTTCCTATTTTACATTCCGGTTTTTATTTTTATGATCTGTGATCTTCAGGGAAGCCGAAAAAATACTTCTATAGCACTCATGCCGGCTACGGAAGCCACGAAAACTTCGCGACTCTGTGCGCTCAAGACAGCAGGCTGCCCGGGCTGGTGCACACTCTGCAGGACTACGAGTACATCAAAGACAACCTCATGACGCAGGGTATGTGGCGCGTGATATATTTTAACATTAATTCTGAAATCGAGTTAAAAAAATTAACCAAAATAATAACCAAATAAAATTTGAAAAATTATTTGGATATTAAAAAAATTAACCAAAATAATAACCAAATAAAATTTGAAAAATTATTTGGATAATGTTGATATCTCGTATACGATTCGCCGTTTTAGAATTTCGGCGATTTGGCATGTGAAAAATTATAATGCTTTGAGAATTTTAAATCTAAATTTTTTTAAATAAAAAAATTACGATGCTCTAAAATTGAAAAATGAATTTATTCTCTAAATTTCAATCTTAAACACATGTGACTATGTAGCAGTCATAATATTCTAATTTTCAATCAATTACCAATTTTCAAGGCACGGCTGACGCGGCAAACCCCGGTCTTTTCCTCCCTCTCATAAGTTTTTTCGACACGAACAAAACGCGGAAATCCAACGCCTGGACTGGAACTGGGCTACACGTTCTGGAAAACCATGTGCTTCACCGTTACTTCGTTGAATCCTTCCACGACACGTGCAACATCATCACCCCGACGAGCGGCCTCACCCTCCAGGAGTATCCGTGTAACACAACGGAGCTTCATGTTCTTTGCTACCAATACTAGAGAAGCATACAGGTTCAACAAGTCAACATGTATGGCACACAACGGAACTTCATGTTCTTTGCTACCACAACTAGAGAAGCAAAGATTGTCAACAAGTCAACATGTGTTGCACACAACGGAACTTCATGTTCTTTGCTACCACAACTAGAGAAGCAAAGATTGTCAACAAGTCAACATGTGTGGCACACATCGGAGATTCATGTTCTTTGCTACCAATACTAGAGAAGTAAAAGAGGTTCAACAAGTCAACATGTGTGGCACACAACGGAGCTTCATGTTCTTTGCTACCAATACTAGAGAAGCAAAAGAGGTTCAACAAGTCAACATGTGTGGGACACAACGAAGCTTCATGTTCTTTGTTACAAATACTAGAGAAGCAAACAAGTCAACATGTGTGGCATACAACGGAACTTCATGTTCTTTGCTACCAATACTAGAGAAGTAAAAGAGGTTCAACATGTGTGGCACACAGCTGAGATTCATGTGCTTTGCTACCAATATTAGAGAAGCAAACAAGTCAACATGTGTGGGACACAACGAAGCTTCATGTTCTTTGCTACAAATACTAGAGAAGCAAAAGAGGTTCAACATGTGTGGCACACAGCTGAGATTCATGTGCTTTGCTACCAATAATAGAGAAACAAATGAGGTTCAATAAGTCAACATGTGCGACACTTTACCACAAATTCGGTTTTTATCGACTTTCAGTGTAATTTGCTTCACACGCACAGCTTCCGTGCACCAATTTGCACAGCATTTTCCTTCAATCATTGCTCGAGCCAGCGTGTCGGATTAACTTTCTGCTACAACTGCTCTATTGTCTACGTACCAAGTATTTTGCGGCACAAATTTTTATTCATGCAGAAAAACATATTACCAGCCCTACGCTTTTCAAGTACGTACTAATCAAATTGCACTGTTCTTTGTGTGAAAAAATGCATAAATTATTCCGTGTGGTAAGTTGCTAACATCTCTGTACTGGTCACAATTTACCAATAAGCACTTCACAATTCAAATGTCACATAGTTAATCTATAATTGCAATAAAATAAGGTTTAAAAATAACGATACTACTATACTTCAACTGATGTCAGAAGTTGCTGTTTTTTAGTTGCTACAGTTACGTGGTCCGATTTTTCAAACAAATAACAATCCCTAACAAAATTTAGAGTCGCCCCAGCTTCTGGTAATCCAAATCTGAAGCTGCCGCGACTGTAAATTTTCACTGGGAAGAACTCCTACCCAAACAAAATTTAGAGTTGCCCCAGCTTCTGGTAACCCCAATCAGAAGCTGCCGCGTCTGTAAATTTTCACTGGGAAGAACTCCTACCCTAACAAAATTTAGAGTCGCCCCAGCTTCTGGTAATCCAAATCAGAAGCTGCCGCGTCTGTAAATTTTCACTGGGATGCTGATAAGATGTGAGGGTATTGATGTGTGTAGCTTAACTCAATGTATCACACGAAGAGTTCACACCTGCTAGCACTTTTTGTGTTATGTTAATTTTTTAATCTTACGAGTTTCGAAGTTCGGAAATTTTTGAGATAAAATATAATAATATTTGCAGATTATAGTATGTATATTACATATAATAAAATAGTTAGTCCGGGAAAGTTGAAAACAATCTTAATCATCGGTTCAATTATTCAATGAGAGTTTTTTCGTTTTATTGCTAATCTTACATATACATCGTCACTTTCAAATCAATAATGTAATGTTTGATGACCGTAATCCCAATGTCTGTTAATAATAATATGTAGCTTATGTTTTCTAGTTAAATAAAGATACATTGACATCCAAATTTACATAGAAAAGAAGCTAGGACTCTCATTATACTCTCGTTTCATGGTATGAAAAAATTATTCTTTCAAGTTATAGATATCAATTGCACAATAAAACTTAAATTTTGATCCAATTGAGTAATCTCTTTCCTTCAAGCTCCTTCTATTCCCCCGCAAAGAATCGCTCGAACAGCTTCAATATATACATTCGTGGCACCAGGGTCCAAACATACAAACCTCAAACTTAGACAAATATATAAATACTAGATTGCATAGAAGTAAACCTCATTAAATAATTTAAATTCAATATCGGAATGCATTCCTTCCTTAGACTACTTTCAGCAGAGCAATAAATTTTTGAATGATAAGGGATGACTGATACTGGAAGAAGCTGTTTCTTCACTTGGAAAGTGTTATTCTGTGAGAAGGAAATTAATATTAGTGGTCATAAGTAAACATTTGACTGATCGTTAGTTTGGGCCGTATAGCTACCCATATGTGATCATGTGATACGGTGTCTTTTTGTAAAGATTCTAATTCATAGTGTGACCACGGGGAAAGCAGTGGAATTGCCCTAGCTGTAGTTCTTCTGGTTTTGATATACACGCTCTCCCGGTCAGACCACCTTCCTTTTAAAATTTATACTCTTACCTCAGACATTTTAAGTTTGTGAGTGTAGGTGTTCAGTGAATATAATATCAGAGTCCAGTTACTTAGCGGCGTCACCTTCAGTCAGCGGCTGAGGTGACAAATCCGATGTTTCATGCCGTGACATTCCAGGACCTATACTTTCAAAAAAAAAAGTTAAGAGATCGTATGTTCATCAGCCAATCATTGACGGCCTTTCAAGCAAAATCCACCAATCATAGACAAAAAAAAATAGAGCGTAAGTACTTGCGTTCACTTAGCGAGTTTTGAAAGTATGGCCCCTGATGATGTTCGCTGTCTCGAACTAACAGCATCATTAGATAGATTGAACTACATAAAATATTCCGTGCCATCACACTTTATGCAAAAATCATATGATTCTTCACAGTCAACAAATAAGTATATACCATGCATGTAAAGAAGAGATCAAATTAATGGATATTCTAAAGACAAAACTCAAAAAAAAAAAAATTGCGTACTGATGCAGAATAGGTCCGAGCTGGGTTGATATATTCATTGATTAATCATTCATAGATTAATCAATCATTGATTTATCACTTATGGATTAACCACTCATTGATTAATCACTCATTGAATAATCACTCATAGATAAATCACTCATGGATTAATCACTCATTGATTAATCACTCATTGATTAATCACTCATCGATTTATCACTCGTTGGTTATTCACTCAATGATTAATCATTCATTGATTAATCACTCATTGANCACTCATTGATTAATCACGTATTGATTAATCACACATAGACAAATCACTCATTGAATAATCCCTCATTGATTAATCAAGGAGATTTGCGTTGTATGATCAATCCCTGCAGATCGATGCAAACAACGAAGCCTAGCATTCTGATCGGCTTATTACCGCGGGTAATTGGCGCTTTTTTGACGACGGAATCATAGGTCGTGGTCGTCAGTGTACGAAATCAATAATGCGGGATGGTAGTATATAAACTGAACTACATGGTCATGATCTAGATAAGATTAATGGTTGTCCTATGCACCCAATAATGATTTACTGAGCAAAAAGATATTGGACTATTCGCTTACATGTTTAGCGCATTTTCTCATTTATGGAAAAAGGCGCTATTGTGCTCGTCATGTCCGTCCCTCTGTCCGTCCGTCCGTCCTTCCGTCTGTCCGTCCGTCCGTCCGTCCGTCTGTCCGTCCGTCCTTTTTTCTGTCTGTCTATCTGTGACTTCACGTTTTCGTCAATTTTGAGAAAATGCGCTCTCTGTCACTCACTGCAGTGAGTACTGAGTTATATTTTTTACTACGAACTCGAAAAATCCTGGAAGTCTGGATCAGTCGTTGATCGATTTAAATTTTTTTGAGAGCTGATTCGTTGATTGAGCTTTGTTCTACTGAATCACTTCAATACTCTTTTTTCTGCGCGCTAGTCTAGCGTTTTGTTTTTAATTGAACTGCTACCATTTTTTGCAGAGCTGACCTGGTAAGTTGCAGGTTTCTCACTCTTGACTGGTAAACTGAAATATTTCATGCGTGTTGCGTGCCGCCTCAACATTCGAAGAATCGTGACAAAACACTGTCGCTGCTTCTGACGTGAATATTACAAAAATCACAGGATCGTGAACGAACGATATCAAATCAAATCGATCCAATTAATCGCGATTATCACTTAAATGAATTAGCCATCAATTCTCGGTCATGGGAATAACCATTCTATGTATTTGCCTGGCTACTACCACATTGAAAGAACAAATAACCACTTAAGCTACATAATATATTTACTAAAAATTTCTTCCAATAATTCGTAGGAAGAGTAATTTTTTCATGTTTAAAACAAATTTGACTGAATCTTTATCCAATTTGAATATTTTCGGTTCAAGAAACACTGTATATAATCGAGCATGATATTCATGATCTGCCATGTCGATTTCAAATTAATTAATCCTGAAGCGGTAATATTCAGTGGTTTACTTATAACATTTATCCACAACCTATTAAGTATTGAGGTATAAAAAGATATTCGGGGCATCAATGAAATGTAAAATTTCAAAATTTCTATGACAAATTTATACAAAAAGGGCCGCTCTGGCATTACCTATCCTGAGTTACTTGAAAGCCGTGATGTTTATTACTAATTTGTTTGTTCATAATTATGTTCATTAAATTCATTGATGAGATTTCTAGGAGTCAGGTAATAAATCAATCGTACTTGAATTTTAAAATAATAAGAGCCTGAGAACTAGTTTTTATGTTTTCAATTTTAACTGGCCTTGAAACATAACCTTCAATATTTCATTATGCGTAAAAACCTGATTCGAGCTTTTTTCTAAGGCCATTTTCACTTGACCGGCGCTTTGATAAGCCACCGGATAAACAAATATTTCTTTTAGTTTTAATTTTTTACTTAACAATTTGCTCAAGAGTTTATTCGATTCGAATTCACAATGAGAGAATAACTAATAAATGCAAAATTATTATTGCCTCAGATTCAGGAAAAGCAAATCCCTCCTGAGATATCTGTAAACTTTGCATTTACTAAAGTATTTTTAATCTTTCAAATTTGTGCGGTGGCGAGACTAGTATTACTGCAACATCTGATCGTATTACCAACGAAAAGTAATACCAAAGTGCAGGCATTTATATTAAATCTATGTCCGACAATATCTTATGAGGTTTATATTCAAATAGAATTAGAAACGAGTTATTTTCATAAGAAAAGATATTATTTACCGGTATTGAACAAGAAATTTATTGAAGCCCTCAGTATTTCGCAGAGCTCACGGTAAGTTTGATTCATGTGTTAGTCTACGTTACCATGAAAACGGCAGGCAACGGTCGGTCACTGACGAGAAAAAAGCCAGATTGGCGCTAAATGAACAGGGGTTCTCCATTCCATCACTGAACCTAAGCATTCATCAATTCGTCGTCGTATGGATCGTGTCGTTTTTTCCCTAGTGTTCTGCGAGGGGTTTAATATAAAGACCAAGCTAGAGCTCTTGATCAAAGTCTTCGCAGTTCATCGCAGTAGCTTGAGACTAGAGGAGCTTTGATTCAAGTCCTCTTATTCACTGTAATAACATTAAATTTTACTTTCTGTTGTAATTACCTTAATTTTACTTTAACTGTTAGACTTAATTCACTTGGCTTCAATTGATGTGAATAAGGTTTACAAATCTTTTTGAATGTCGAAAACAAAATAGTCCCAACAAAGCAGGTCACAGTGGCCATGTGTGACGTTTGATGCAATAAAATAATTGGAAGGTGAAAAACACACATCGAAAAATTTCCAAGGATTTCGGAGCATGGCGATCCTGGCAAAAATATTCATGTCGGTGTTCGGTGCGACGATTACAGCGGCCGCCTTGGCCCGGTATGACATCGTCTTCTACCCTTCGTTCAAAATAACTCCTACCAAAGTTTACAAGACTTTCAACGTTTCCAGCTTAAGTGAGTGTCCTTATAAATACTTTGACATGATAGGTTAACAATAATAAATGCACTGCCTGTCGTGAATAGTGTAGGAATGAGCGGTTAAAGTTTCGTTCATGCGAAATGCAGAAATTCTTCCATGCATGAGCGAGATTGAGCACTCACATCGATGGTTTTTCAAAATTTATGCCTCCTGATGAATTACGGACAACTGGCCAATAGATGATAAAATTTTTAACTTTAAAACGATAGTGTAGTATACGATTAACTTAAACTATTCCCATTCCCCGTGGGCTAAGGTGAGTGCCGGCGTAGGTGCGTGGATGACCCGGAGTGCACGGGCTGGACTGAGTGGCCCACGAGGAAGTCCAATCTCGACAACTGTCAACACACGCGCGACTCGCAGCCCGGCACGACGCTGGTCAGCGGTTACGGCATGGAAACTTACTTCAAAGAGAGTGAGTCTGAACCCAATGAGAATCAATTAACGATTTTGAATGTGGCTGTTTTATATAGGAATCATCGTTGGGCGGATAAATTTTGAAAGCTGCACGTATAAAATTCTTGGACAACAGAAATTGGAGTTTATTTTGCGCTTTAATACAGCCGGTAGCCGATTTATACCGAAAATACTACTTGAAAAATAACTCGTACTACTCTGAAGTACTTCCTACTATGAAGAGAAAGAATCCGACTTTTCGGGGAGTAGTTTAGATTTTTAGTTGTTGCGTAAAACTTATTGCAAAGGGCTTATTTCAAGGAAAGTTTGACTGGAAAATTAAGACTATTTGATAGATTTTTTCCATACCAATGCATGCTAAGGCTCTTCTTATGAAGAATAGTTTCATTTCATGGGAGTTATTTAATCTTCAATGTGATCGCGTGTGTCACTGGGCCATGTTGCTCTTTCCGTGATGTCAGTGAGAATACAAACCCTCGCGTTATGATGGCTTAAATCAAGAAGCATCCGCACTAATTCGCTCAATTTATTGTGTTCTTGATTCCTGTATTGAATAAAGCCTGAGCTAAAAAGCATAGAATTTTTAGTGCGAAGTAAACTACTATTAGGCTGCGTAAGGTAATAGGCGGAAAAAAATTCTTCTGTTCTTTAATAATTATCAAATTTCAATATAAATTTATATCAAGGTTGATGACGCATCTTATATTTTTGACATTTCTTCAAAAAGAATTTCTATCGCAAACGGACAATAAACTTCATCCATCCAGCATTTCTTCCTCTTGACAAGACCTGCAGGTTAGCCAACGTTTCACCAGATTGTTGTTATATCTGCACATGAAATACTATCAGAATTAACTGAGTTAAAAAACATGGTTCTAGGAACCACGTTATTCTAAATCCCGGTATACTGAAACCATCTATATTAGTGAACATAATGTATTTTAATAAATAGAAAACTATCAAAATGTCACAATATACATCGAAAATTAAACTCACAGTTGATTCTTGTTTTGAAATGTGAAATGAAACACTATTTACTTTTTGAAATCGAATGTGTTGATACCAATTTGAACATCAAATTTACATTTTTACATTTTTGATCATATGATTTACACATAGTTTTGCAATGCCTCACTATTCTTGCACCAGAAATAAATTTTTAGGTTAAATTAATGTCCTTAAACGAGAAGTGTCGCGGATTCGCTTTCGAACAGTCCCTATGTTTTTGCAGTGTCAGGCTCCAAACATTCAAACAAACAAACTTCAACAATTATATTAGGAAAAGATATCTCGGTACTTCTGTCACCGAGACAGGTTTGCATATGTTAACAGATTAACAGATATTGGTCTTTACTTTTTTTAGAAAAACCGAAAAAATACTTTTGGAGCTCTGATGTGGGGTACGGCAGCGACAAAAACTTCACGACTCTGTGCGCTCAGGACAACGGGCAACCCGGGCTGGTGCACACCCTACAGGAATACGAGTACATCAGAGACAACCTCATGTCGGGTCTGTGTGACATATGATTTTTACGTTAATTCTGAGACAAAGTTGAAACAGTTATGTAAATATGTAAACTTCTCCTTTTTTCGAACCACCATTGAAACAATTGCACAGAGACAATCTCATGTCGGGCCTGTGTGACATATGATTATTTTACGTTAATTCTGAGACAAAGTAGAACCAGTTGAAACTTACCCTTTTTTTCAAACCACCAATGAAACAATTGCACAGAGACAATCTCATGTCGGGTCTGTGTGACATATGATTATTTCACGTCAATTCTGAGACAAAGTAGAACCAGTTATGTAAATATGAATACTTACCCTTTTTTCAAACCACCATTCAAACAATTGCAAGCTAAATGGAGTTAAAAGTATTATCACATATGAATTCCGAAGCCACAAAACACATTGAATTGTTTTCTCATTTTTAATGTTAGTGCTCGAACGAGCAGTTTTGGTTCCGCCACGAGACTCCTCCTATATTCAAGGTATGAGAAAGGACGATAGATGTCAGTGTTTTTTAGAAAACTTGATTACGACTGTGGACTGACATGAGAAGAGGCAAGGACACAGTCTTGCTGATAATATTCATGGAATATAGAAGTTATTTAACGGTTTAATGTTGTAAATCAAAGTTTCATAAAGGCCTTAATGGTTGGCTAAGTGACCAGGGCTGATTCATTTTAAACACATTTTAATTATTTAATACAATCGAAATATACATTCATATCAAAATTAATAGCCCTTTAAAAAATTAATCATGAACCAATCATGTAAATCAATTAATCATTAATCATCGATTTAAATTAATCATGGATGACTAATATTGTCTTCAACTCACAGCTGTCACGGAATGGAGCGGCCGTTTCATCCCTTTGATGAGTTACCTCTACTCGAATAACACGAGGAAATCTAACAAATGGACGGGAACACAACTGCAAGTGGACGGCAACCATGTGCTTCACCGCCACTACGATCCCTCTTTCGATGATTTGTGCAACACCATCACCCCTACGAACGACCTCACCCTCAAGGAGTATTCGTGTACTGAAACGAAACTAAACGTTCTCTGCTACACATATTAAGCAATCAACTTCTCTGCTACAATTATCAAGCAAACAACAATTATTAAGCTTCACCGCCACTACGATCCCTCTTTGGATGACTTGTGCAACACCATCACCCCTACGAACGACCTCACTCTCAAGGAGTATTCGTGTACGGAAACGAAACTAAACGTTCTCTGCTACACATATTAAGCAATCAACTTCTCTGCTGCAATTATTAAGCAAACAACAACAACAATTATTAAGCAAGCAACAATTATTAAGCTAGCAACAAATATTAAGCAAGTCAACAGCTGTGCTCCTGCGCATATTAACACGTTGACTCCGACAGCTTCATCTTGTACTGCTATTTCAATTTTTGTCCTAATATGAATTATGTACCACTACGTCCCAGAGAAATACACCTCGTGGAACGCATATGTTCAACTTCGGAGTCATAGTGTTGAGCAAGCAACTAGGTCATAAAAGTTCACATCTGTGCAACTCCGAGCACTACTTTTAATTGCAATAACTAGGATCTCTGCCATAGTCTCTAGTCAACATAGTCTCTGCCAACAAGAAACAATGCTAGGTGGTCAGGTCGAGTTGATATGGTTCTATAATAAGAGACCTTATGTCCTGTGGTTTTCACAGTATTTTATCACAAACTCTGATATTGCTTATACTTGCAAGGAATTTCTTTACATCTGCATCGACATGTTTAAGAATGCACGATAGTTTGCTACAAGTTCTGCTCAATCGGAGTCGTTCTTTTCATGCTACTAGCATTGCACTAGCATTGTCTACCTGCACTAGCATATTGTCTGCTAGCACTAGCATCGTCTACTTGCAAGTAACTTAGCGGCTAATACTGCACTAGTAAACTGTAAACTGTTGGAAAAACGGTGAAAAAACGGTCCCACTGGCATTCTAGTGGCCGGTCGCCCCGTAAAAAATAAACTGTTTCGCCGTTTTTATCAGATGTTTTACGGATTTCTATAGTGTTAAATTAGAATAAAAACGGCGACACGGTGTTTCTTTTCACGTGCCGACCGGCCACTGAAACGCCGGTAATACCGTTAACAGTAATTTTTCTAACAGTGTACACTGCACAGCACTCATCGGCAACGTTCAATAAATTTGCAGCGAATCAAAACGCAGTCCAAATTAACTTATACTTCTAGAAAATTTCCTCCTTTCAGCTGTTAATTGCACGGAATTTCCAATAAATTGATTTGAATTGCAATAATGTAGATTTGATCTTTTGAGCAGTGCGAGCACTACATTCTAATTATTAAGATCGTGTGACCGTTTTTGTCAAGTCGATACTAACTTTCTTTAAATTTAACGCCTTGAAATGTGTAGGTGACGTAAAATGCTTATGCAATTTTTATATGCCTAAAAATTTGACCCTCCGAATTGAAAAATTTATTTTTCCCATTCGGATCCTAAATAATGTTGTGGTAAATACTCAAAAGAAATAAGCTTTAATTATGATCATGTGAAATTTTGCCTCATGTGGAATTTTGGTTTCTGAAGATCACTTAACATGAAATGGCTCTTATTATCCTGCTCTTATTATGGAGGCATTTTAAGAAGTAATCGGTACCTCAAAAATATTACCATTATAAAGAAATGGGAAACGATCTAATTAAACTGGAAAGTTCGGCAGTTTGACTGTATATCATGCAATTGATATGGCAGCAAGTGTGGGCAGCGTGTTGCCCTTTTTACAGCTTTATACATTATAATTAAATATGTGGATTGGTTGAAGTTATATGTGATGGAGTGATCATTGATGAGTATTAATATGTCTGGGTCTATGTGGTTGTAGATTTTTGCAAGAGTCAATCTGTTATTGTACCAGTGCCGAATTTAGGTGGAAATGTTTTATTAGAATAATTCGAAATTATTATTTGCTATGTAAATCATTACTAGGGCAGAAAATCTCCGACATTCTCACCGTTTAGTGATTCACACTAATTAAACCACGTGTTTCGAATGTAGCCCAAAAAAGGCTTCAATGACCCGTATATGTGCCTTCTGTTCAGTAAGCCGTGGCATCTCAAAGTCGAAAAATTTTAAATTTGGAGCATAATCATTTCGTGGTGAATTTAGAAAAATTAAAGAATAAATTTATTATTTCTTATGTTGTTTTGAAAAAAGTGATTCTCGCCTTGAGTAATGAAGTATAGAAGTGGGATAGAGTGCAATAAAAAAAATTAGTTTATGATCGATTTATGTCAACTTAGGCTTCTACCAAATGCGATAGCACGCAATGAATAAATGCGTTAAAAACCAACAAAAATTTTGCATTGGGACGAAATAGATAGCTGGTTTCATTCGTATAATGTTAATGAAAGGAAATTATCAGGTAATGATAAAGGCTATTGCCATCATGGCGTCATTTAGAACATTTGCATATTATCGGTACTTCATTAGCATTAAATTGGCTTGCCATCGACATAATACGAGGAAGCCCCAGGGGATGAGGTACAGCGAGCTGATAATCTCTGTTATCGATTTTTAATCAGGATAAATTACTTTTAACTGTATCATCAAATCGTTGATGGCAAAATTCCAGTCTATACATTTCCTTCGTCTATATAGTTCATAATAAATCTTAATATGTGTAATAAATATTTTCTAATTATTTTAAGCTTCACTTATTACTGACGCACTGTTCAATTTTAATTGCACAATCGTTGATGGTAAAATTCCAATATATATTTCATTCAACAATATAATTTCTAATAAATCTTAATCTGCGTAAGAAATATTTTGTTAGAATTTTAACCTTCACTTATTATTTACGCACAGTTTAATTTTAATTACACAATGCTCATAATTTTAATGCACAATGGCTGATGGTAAAATTCCAATATATTTACTTTATCTAATATAACTCCTAATAATTCGTAACCTACGTAAGAAACATTTTCTAATAATTTGAACCTTCCCTGTTACTTATGCACTGTTCATTTTAATTGCACAATGCTCACAATTTTAATGCACAATAATTAATGTTTGATGTTAAAATTCCAATATATATTTACTTCATCAATGTAGTTCCGAATAAATCTTGATCAGCGTAAGCAATATTCTTTAATAATTTTAACCTTCCCTTATTACTGACGCACTATTCAATTTTATTTGCACAATGCTCTGCTACAAATATCATTGAACTAACTCTACATTGCTACACTGTTGTAACGATTCGCTTCAGCTCGGATATAGCGTTCGTTTTTGACGATACCAGATCCGATGATCTTTATATAGTTTGCGAACAGCGTTCGATTTGTACTCATTAAATTTTTAAACTCAGTTAATATTTTGCCGATAGTATTCAATCAAATTGAAAACATTAAATGGTATGGAAACTAAAAATTACGAAAATCAGACAGACCACCCAAATAATGCGAAATTAATTCAATGTTCCGACGTTTCCATAAAATCGCACGAAATACAATTAAATAGGAATAATTTAAATAACAATATTTAATTTAATTATTTAAATAAATAATAATTATTATTTTGAAATTAAAATGACAATAATTGTAATAATAACTTAAATCTGAAGCTTATGCAGGCAGTTTAATTTGCTTTGTAGTTTAAAGAATGAGTTTTTGTACTTAAGTCTCGTTTGCCGGACCTTGGCCCATACTTTCAAAAAAAAGTTAAGAGATCGTAAGTCCATCAACCAATCATTGACGGCCACGCAAGCAAATTCCACCAATCATAGACAAGAAAATAAAGCGTAAGTACTTACGTTCACTTAGCGAGTTTTGAAAGTATGGCCCCTTGTATGGTTTTTCGATCGCTTTTGTTTGATCAAAATCTAAATTTTGACAACTATCAACAATTTGCAATGTTTCAGGCTGCATGCTTTGAATGAAACTATTAAATTTAGTTCATATACCTGCAAAATTAGCCTTGCTTCTAAGAAGTCTCTTTCAGTCAGTTTCATATGGTAATAAAAATTTTTTTCAGGCATTTATTCGCCTAATAAATATTAGTCATTGCAAGCAGATCAATCAGATAGGAACTGAAATCATTCCTGAAATCATCACATACATTTTGCTTAGGCTGTGCGGTAACGGTGTCAAACATCTTCAGTTGAGGGCAAACAAAACCTTTTTAGTGCATTTTGTCATTTATGGAAAAAATGCACTATTGTGCTCGCCATGTCCGTCCGTCCGTCTGTCTGTCTGTCTGTCTGTCCGTCTGTCCGTCCGTCTTTCCGTGACCTCAAGTTTTCTCGACGAGGAAATGCGCTCTCTGTCACTCACTGCAGTGAGTACTGAGTTGTATTTTTTGCAAATTTGTAGGAGACAACAGCCAACAGGCCATGAGCCTATTTCTTCAGTGCCGACACTTCTATACTATTCTATTCTAACCATCAACAGCGTGCTGCGTAGCAGACGAACATGAGGAGCGTGAACCGCGCGACTGATTGTCCTGCCCAGCTGCACATATGTTGGTTCATGGTTGAACTAGTTACTAGTATAAGGTTGACCCATGAGAAGATTATTTTTGCGGATGTAGCTTGTTCGTCAGTGACGTCACTGATCTCAGTGACGTCACTGACATTAACCATTCACCGAAATGCGATCAAACCAGTCAACCAATCCGTCGTGGGAATGACGGGATTGTTTACGTTTCTTGATCTACGTGACGTAACAAGAAAGCTGAACTGAAAGACGGACATCCTCGTGGATCAACCTTATATAGTTCAACATTGGGTCGGTTAGCACTGTTGTACATGCATGCTGTTCTCTGCACATATATGTTAGCCCTTAATTTACACAGCTGCTGCCATTACCGTTTGTAACTGCTGTCAGAAATGTACATCACCTCTGTAGTTGCTATGCTGTCTTAACTAAAGCTTGAACCCGAACAAAATTTAGAGTCGCCCCAGCTTCTGGTAACCCAAATCAGAAGCTGCTGCGACTGTAAATTTTCACTGGGAAGAACTCCTACCCTAACAAAATTTAGAGTCGCCCCAGCTTCTGGTATTCCAAATCAGAAGCTGCCGCGTCTGTAAATTTTCACTGTTAAGGGACCGGCTCCGACAGCAGCTATCAGTAGTGACAGCTGTCAGCATCGTACGCTGCTTCTGACAGCGCTCATGTGAAATGTTCACTAGTGTTTAGTAATTGATATTATACACAAATATGCGAGATAAATTCGTCAACTATTAGTGTCAACATAAATCGAGTGGAAATGTCATC